AGCTTACTGTGCTAGCTGCCACGATTGCCAACTCAACAAGGTACCGAACAAACTACCTTCGGGTAAGTTACAGCCCCATGACGTCCCCACGACATGCTGGGACGTGGTTACCACGGATTTTCTCACAGAATTGCCGAATAGTTCGGCAGGGTACGATAGCATCCTGGTCATTGTGGATAAGTTTTCCAAACGGGGCATCTTTATTCCCACTACAAAGACCATCACCGCCCCCAATGCTGCGCAACTTTTCCAAGATTACTTGTTTTCCAGGTTTGGTGTCCCAATCTGGATAATATCTGACCGCGATCCCAAGTTCAAATCAAGATTCTGGAAGTCGCTGGCGGAGATACTCAACGTACATCTCAACATGTCAACAGCCGATCATCCCGAGACTGATGGCCAATCGGAAATATTGATTCGGACAATCGCCAACATGTTACGAGCCGCCATTCAAAAAGATAAAACTCAGTGGCACACCCAGTTGTCCGTGCTGGAGTACGAGTACAATGCGTCAAGAAACTCGAGCACAGGCCTGTCGCCATTCGAAATTGATATTGGCCGGATCCCTCCCAACCCGCTCATAAGACTCCTATCTGAATGCAAGATACAGTCTCAACATGCAGAGGACTTCGCGTCTAAAAGAGAATCATTCTGATTGGTCGCTCGTGACAATCTGGCTTTCGCACGTGCACGTCAAAAGCACTATGCGGACAAGAAGAGGCTCGATGTGCAATTCAAGGGCGGCGATTTGGTTCTTTTACGCTCTGACAAGCTCGACACCTTCACTCGTTCTGATTTACCCGCTAAATGGCGCCCTAAGTACCTCGGACCATTACGGATACGCGACGTTCTCGGTCCGGTGACCTACCGTATTGAACTGCCACCCTCTATGGCACGAGCACACGACGTCTTCCACGTCTCGAAATTGAAGAAATACATACGGCCACCTGGAAGTAGTGGCCTGCTTCCTGTGGTAATTGATGCAGATGGTACAGTGGAGGAAGAAGTTGAAGCTATCCTGGGAAAGAAACGTCAGAACCGTAGACTTTTCTATTTGGTACAGTTCGTTGGTGATGCAGTTTCCGAAGCAGTTTGGATACACAAGTCGGAGTTAACGCATTGTAAGGATAAGATTTCGCACTACGAACAATCGACGCGGACGTCGATTTCAGAAGGAAGGTAAGTGTAACACTGTGGTGTTCCGCCACGAAAGCATTAGTCAAATGTCATACAGCATGATTTCGTATGCATCTCCCTCCGTCATTTTTAGTCAAACTCTCCTACAGAGTTCTCCTTTACTCTGCAGTACTTAGTCCTCACGACGACTCCGAGAGAAGGGAGAGGAAGGGGGGACACGACGAGTAAACGACTCGTGCAACGAGGATTTTTACGCTCAACACTTTTCCTCGTCACACACTACACTGTAATGTCTTCCGACCTAGCGTTATAATAACATAGAAACCCGCGAATTTATTTTCAACTTTGATGTCCACGATTTCTATTTTTTTTGGTAGGTTGACTCACTTTAAAATTTTCTGACTGAACGCAACCTGGTATAAAATTTGGTTAAAGAAACATGCGCACTGTAAACCGACTTTTCCTTTTGAACATCTTTATGTGTGTCAGCGCGTTGGTTTTAGCTATAATCGACAAGCAGTTGCTTTCCAATGATGATGTTCTTCTAGTTGCAAAAAACAAAAGTGATATCGCGAGTTTCGTTGTCACGAAAAAAATAGAAAAACGTTTGCCCTCATATGATGACTTACGGTCCGATAGACACTAGGATGCTAAAATATACAAGGGGGTAGCCTCACAAGTTGAACAAATCAAAGATTTAAAAAAATAATATCTTTTAGACGTCCGTTTTGAACAAGATTTGAATTTTCTTGAAGCGTGGCGACAGATTGTCAAGCCTCAAAACCGGTATGGAGAAACAATGGTCTCAATGCAAAAAGAAGCGAATGTGAATGAACAACAAGTTGCCAGTTCTGAGGCCCCCCTAATCTGAACAGCCAATTTATTGGCTACTGCAAAAAACATGCAAATTTTTATTTGAATTTCGATCCCCACTGCGGCAACAGTTAACCCATCAACTGATTCACAGCCTCCACACAACGGCGATTGTTTCTTTCTGCTTTCCGACGTTTCGCCACCATGCGGCGCTCCAACATCGGCCGTGGCAGCTTGCCTTCCACTCCATAAACAAGAACCCGAAAATTCATTGCTTTGCGTTCGAAACGTTGTTGCTCTCGCCTTAATCTTTCACAAGCGATGGCTTCGCGCTCTGCTTTGTCGGCCTCCTTTCTTGCTAGCTCTGCCTTTCTGGCTTTGTCCAGCGCATCCTTTGCCTTGGCTTTTTTTAAAGCTTCTTCAGACGTGAGACAAAAGCCAAATGTAGTATCCAGGAACCCGTTCCTAAACACCACAGGCTGCAAACCGATATTCTTCCTCCGCTTCTCCCGCTTATCTTCCAATATTTTCTCAATATCTACTGCCGAGATCAATTCATTTGGGTGGGAAAAAGACCTTGTCCGCGGCACACTGAAGACGTGCGAGAGGTTGGCAGGGTATATACCTGCCTTCGCGAAACCAGAGGCAATGGTGCTTCTCGTAAAAGTCATGCTGTATGCCTGTTTTACAAGCATCAGAAAATCAAACCGGTCGTAGACATTGTCCTTCGTGTGACTTGATAGGCTCTCAACAAGATCTCGAAGCTTGTTTTTAAATGCGGCGAACACAGAAACATCCAACGGTTGTGTAATACCGCTAGTGTGCGCCGGCAAAGCGTACACGATGACTCCAGCATCGTGAAAAAACTGCATTGTCCTGTACCTCATGTGGCTCCTGTAACCGTTAAGCAATAAAAGTATCTTGCCACTGCTCAATCTTATTTTGTTGTCATCCACAAACACACGCGCCCATTCATAAAAATTTTGAGAGTCCACGCTGTAGTATAATCACCCCCAACGACGAGGGGGGTGAGTACTGACAGTTCGGAAAGACCCCGATCGGCGGGAAGACAGAAGCACGGCCCACCCACGGTACCGAGCACGAGCTCGAGGTAGCGGTGGTAGAGCGGGATCCGGGAGGACACGCGCACGCGCGAGTGGTTCTACGCCTCGACGCCCCGGAGCGGTACTGGGTGACGATCCAGTACCGACGGGCGGAGGCGGAGCCGGCTCGTGGGCGTGCTGTGCGCGTCCTCAACCCGCGTGCGGTGCTACTCCTATGTAAAACGGACGGAAATACCTGAGAGTAAGCGGGCGGACCAAGGTGGAGGATCCTTGACAAGTCCGTGCTTGTCGTCCTCCACCGCCGGCGGTCCGGTCATATTTAATGTACATTGTAGTCTATCATAACTCTACAGTAGTGCCGGTCTACCGACACTGTAACGCTGTCAGCCGGCGGGGATGACAGTCCACGTGTAGTACGCGTCCCGTACACGCGGAGGACTCGTGTGTGCGCGCATAGTCTTAAGGCTCGTTGCCTTACTGTCCCTGATCCGATCCTAATCTAATTTCCGTTTGGGGTTATACAACACACGCCTGCAATGTCTTCACGACAAGTGATAACGCTACCGGTTGGGAGAAAATCTGCAATTGTCTCCACTCGCTCTCCTGCTGCAGACTTTGTCACACGATAATTAAGCGACTTGCCTTTTACGACAAACAAAGGCCTTCCAACGCAACCACTCGCAAATACTACGGTCATAATTGTTAACCTTTCAATGTTTCGGAACTCAGGAGAACGCTGAACAGAGCACCCCAGTTTAGAAGATCTTGTTACGTATGCCTTCTTGTGGCTGGATTTCAAACTATCACGGTTGGGGGATATGCCAGTCTCGTCAGGATTGGCAATATGATATGAATCTATCCTGTTGTCTGCGATGAGCTTGCGCACCTCAATTAAATGGGATGTGAGGACATCTGCGTTGCCTGCGCTCCAGCGCAACTCCTCCTCCTTCGAACAGCGTCTGAAGCGGATGCGATCGCTATGGCGAGCACGAAAATTGCGGAAGAATTTTTTTCCAGGTCTGTTGTTTACGAAGGGTAGTTTAGCTTGGCGATCTGCGGGAAACGACGGGACGAGAATCTCGACTGCATCACCGACATCCTCATTGCTGAGAGGAAAGCCACGGGCAGAGTACCTGTTAACGAGGTCCACAATGACATTTTCTTCGTCAGCAGTGAGGTACGTTCGGCTGATCGGCTTCCTGTCCTTGTGCATTAGGCGGTACTGAAACGTGGATAACGGCATACGCGCAATTAACGAAGCACGACGTCTATCCACACCCTTGTCAACTGCAGCAAGAGCCTTTTGAAAGCATCTCTCGTGCTTCGACATTCGTTTGACACGACCCATTGTGAGTTGACACCCGGTTTCTAACACAGTCTGGAGAGTCTGGGAAGGTCACCAAGGCTTCAATTTGCACTTATATGGAGCAGAACACATCGAATTAAGTGTTTTCGAGTACGCAGATATCGAAAGAGCGCGGTAAAATGTTTGATTTGGATTCCCCGCCCAGTTATGGGCCTTTTTTGTCTCCGTCACATCTTTGACATGCAATAACAGCAATGCTTTTGTTTATTTGCTTTAAAATCTGATATTTTTCGAGTTGTTCAACTGGTGGGGGTCTTGTGCAAAAAGTGGGGGCACCCCCTTGTAGCTCTCTCTCTACGTAGACAAGTAGTGAGCTCGGCGACATGTAGGAAGGGAAAAATAGGTTGCACATCCTGAGTTAACACTACTCGGTACCGTTGGGACGGTTTCAGTATCAATGCATCCTTTTCAATCGTGCAGTATATACCACGTCGGACCACGCGCGACTCTAACAACTGAGGTACAAATTTACGAGCGCGCTGTCGAACAACACAGCTCCATAATAACGGTGCTGGACACGCACCCTGCAGTGATCTTCCAAAATATAGACTGAAAGCAATTTTCCTTCCAGGGCATGAAGAAAACCTTTCTAAATGTCTACGTTAAACTAACAGTTCTGATCAATGTGTAAATTGCCTTGCGTCCGAATCACCACGTTTTCCATATGGGTTGGAGGCGGAGAAAGCATGGCCAGTGTTTCGTTGTCTAATTACGCCGCGCAGCTTATCGTTGTTTTTGTAACCCTGACCAACACCACCTCCGCCACCCCTTCTCCGTGGCGCTTTTGCACTTCCCATCATGTTAAGGTTCACTCTTGGGGGGTTGTCAAAACAAAAGCTGGCTGCCACGGCATTCAAATCCAGTTCGTGTACGTTGAAGATGTTTTTCATGCCATGACTCGCATAGGATTGCAAATATGATCGGTACCCATCTTTGGCTGAACGATTCAGCGCATAGTTTTCACCGATAAGCTTTTCCAGTTGAGGCTGCACCTTAGCCATTTTCTTTTCTGGGAACTCATATTCATTTAGCGGCACTCTAGCAGCTTTCAAGTGCCGCAAGAAACCCATTTCAGAAGGAAGCAAGAAAAGCAAAGCCTTTCCCTTGGCATTGACTCCGCGAGCAGTTCTTCCGACTCTGTGAATGTATTCTTTCGGCTCATCAGGAGGGTCAAATTGAATAATCCAGTCAACTGCTGGAATGTCAAGCCCCCTCGCTGCGACATCCGTGCATATCAAAATAGCCTTTTCTGCCTTGCAAAACTTGTAAAACGTAGTTGTACGCTTGTTTTGCTTTTGCCTGCCGTAGAGATCCAACACGGGAATATCGACATGATTCAAGAGCTCATAGTAAAACTTCACGGCGTTGCAGCTCGACATGAAGACAATGATCTTCTTCTTCAAATTGCGGCGAAGGAAGGTGTACAAGAGAATGAAACGGTTTTCGCTCGGCACAATGACAAAGCCTTGTTCGAGACCGCTAACCGTTGATACCTCACCTTTGTCGTGTACACCAACATACACTGGCTTGTTCTTAAACGACACGCGCACGAGGTCCTCCACTTTCGTGGTCTGAGTTGCTGAAAAGAGCATTGTCTGCCGCTTCTTCGGAAGTGTCTTTATGATCTGGTGCATTTCCTCCTCAAAGCCAATCTCCAAACATCGATCGGCCTCGTCGATAACCAAGACGGCGAGATTCTTATGGACAAACCCGGGGGTGTTCTGCAAATGATCGAGAAGGCGCCCCGGAGTAGCAACGAGAATAGCAACTCCTTTCTGGAGCTTATCGGCCTCCATCTTGCGATTGGCACCGCCCATGCAAATACCATACGTCTGCGAGTGATACTTGCATATATCGGCGACAACACCGTAAATCTGGAGAGCCAGCTCACGAGTCGGCGAAATAACCACGGCACCCGTGCCATGACGGTTTGTCCATTTCACCTTCGACAGCAGCTCAATGACCGGGATGACAAATGCGAGGGTCTTCCCCGAACCAGTGCGAGCTGCACCAAGAACATCGCGTCCGGCCATGCCATGCGGGATGCAGCGAGCCTGGACCTCGGTCATGCGTTCGAAAGTCATGTCCTTCAAGGCGTGTATGGTCTTCTCTGAGAGGTTGAGTTCGTCGAAGCGGCGCTTGGTCAAAACACCATCAGTGGCTATGTCGTCCTCTTTCACCTCGTCGACTTGCATCTTGCTTTGCTTTTTGGGTTGCGGCTTTGCTTGAACACGATCCTCCTCCGCTTGAGAGTGGTCGTCATCGATGTTTTTCGATTCCTCGCCGGGTGCATCGGCAGATTTGACGGCCTTCTTCCGACGCTTACTACCGGCGGCATCCTTTTCTGGGAGTTGATGAGCAACATTGGGGATGTTCTCTGTCATGTCCACCGCCGCGGTTGCTGCTGGTACATCATCCTCTGGTTGTCGGTCCTTGTTGATGCTCTTCCTCTTTCGCTTTCTGGTCTTTCCGCTGTCGGGCTTGACTTGCTTTTGTGATGGCATGGTGGTGTACAAACTAGGGGATTAAGGGTCTCAGGGTTTGTTGAGGATTTTGTGTCGAAGTTACGCCACCGCCGCCGCACCGAGAACGACTCGGTGTCCACCTCGTATAAAACGGCAGAAGCCCACAAGAAACGAAGAATTATTTTTGAAAATTAAAGAAAATTTTAGGTGTAAGGATGAAGTGAGTCACACTATTTACAACACATCTACTTGTTCCCCAACTTGCCCTTCTTCATAATCTTCCCTTTTGACAACCCCGGACTCCGCCTCTTCTTCCCCTTTGACTTTGCCGCAAGCGCCGCGGCCTTACGCTTTGCTGCGAGAGCACCCGCATTTGGAGCGCTCTTAGGCTTAAAAAAAGAGTCGACCCGGACCTGGTTGGACGTCTTGCGAGCCAACAATAGCCGCTTGATCCCGTTGGCAATCTTCGTTTCATCGAACTGGTTGTCCTCGACCATCAATTTTTTGATGGCCGCCTCATCCGGTTTACCCCACTTCAAAGACACATCCTTAGCAGCCGTGATCTCGGGCTTGAAAAACATCTCCCGCAATGCGTCCACGGGGTACGGGTCCGGCACCTCGTACCTGTCCAAGCGCTTGAGCGCCTCGACCGCCTTGGCCAGGTCCTTGTGCTCGCGCATCAAGCTGAGGGCCTTGACGACGCCGACGCCTTTAATGCCGTCGACGTAATCGCAACCGCACAAAATGCACAGGTCAACAAATTCATGCATCTTTAAGTCGAGGTCCTCCAGCAGGACGTCGAGCGAAAACTCGGTAGGCGTGTGCCCCTTCTTCTGCGCGGACGCGCTGACGCCGGACCATAGCTGGCGCACGAGCTTGTTGGTGCCAAACGTGAGCGAGTCCATATCCTCGCTGACGGTGGCGTACGCCAGGCCGTGCTTGACCAGCTCTGCGCACTGGGCCTCGGCCTCGCAGGGGGCCTCGACGGCGGGGACGCCCATGGCGCGGACGAGGGTCTTGCACGCGGCCATCATCTCGGGGGTGATGCGGTTGACGCGGCGGGCAAACTTTTCGGCGAGCTCGAGGTTGCCGTCCTCCTCGGCCTTCTTGGCGGCCTCCTCGGCGGCCTTCTTCGCCTCGGCGCGCTTGGCAAGCTCGCCGCCCTTCATGGACGGGGGCTTGCCGTCGAAGACGAATATGGGCTTGATGCCCAGCTCGATGAGACGGATGGTGCGGTAGAAGAGGCCGTTGAGGTGCGATGTGACCATGCCGTCCTCATTGGTCAGGTTGTCGGCGCCCATGCGCACGGCAACCAACAGCTGGTAGATGCACATGGAGGCGTCGATGGCGACCTTGCGGCCGAACAGCGCTTTGGCATCCTGCTGCTTGATGGCGCGTGGGGCGTTGTCGCCGATGAGCTTTGTAAGCCCTTTGATACCCATGGAGGAGGGAGCGCGGCGGGCAGCGGCACACAGGCGCACGGAGGTTTCGCTAGTGCGCGTGGTGCTTTTTGGCGCCGGGACGGATGGGTAGGGAGCAGCTTGTTGGCGTCGGGGGCACGCCTACTCAAAACAAGGTACTAAAAGTGTCGAAGGTGAGTGTGAGCGGGGAGGAACGACGGCAGGCGTGCACATCATGCAGCGGCAGCGAAAGGGGGTAGGGGGCTGTGTGATTAGTAATACTCGAGGGCGAGTTGGCGCCAAATGGGATTGCAATTTGGCGCCAAATTTTTGGTGGTCAAGACGTCAACCCACAGCTCCGTTTCGTGCAGCGTTCTGTTCAGGGTGGCAAGCATGCAAGATGTTGGCCCAATACAGTATGTACTGAACAGGTATTTACCTTCCAACAGCGCTCTAGTTGGATCCTAGGACTTGCGTTACGACGCAAAACGCTCAAGAAAACAAGGATAAAACTCCAATACAGAGGCGTATCATCGCCAAAGCACGCGGGATGTTGCCGAGGACTAAATGTTTCCTTTCGCAACTAAATCAAACCATGAGACATGCAGTTGATTCCCCTCCCCCCCACTTATCGCAAGACCAACCATCTGCTTGAGGTTCTCCTCTCTTCCCCTCTCCTCTCTGCCCCTCCACCCTCTCGCCCTCTCTGACTCAAAAAAAAAAAAAAAGACAGAATAAAAAAAATAAAAAGACTATAGACCGAACTGCTCGTCCCCCAGCTATGTCGCGCGCTCCATGAGGAGCTCATGTGCGATCCTGCTGCGAAAGTAGTTCATATGTTGCTGCGAAAAGGTGAATTCTTGCCAGCCGCGCGAGATAAAGTCTGCAAACTTGCACAAGAACACCCCGCAGTCGTCCGAGTTGAGCTGGCGCGGCACGTCGCGCGGCGGCATAGTCCAGTTGTTTGGCGAGAACGGCTTACTCTTGTCGGCGGCTTCGTCGCGCACCCACGACATGAGGTGCTCACGCACCTTGAGCAAGCCGCCCGTGCCCATCGAGTCTAGGTGCTCCACCGTCTGATCCTTGAAGTTGATCACGCCTAGCGTCCAATGTGTGTTGGCCTGGTTGATCGGGATCAGCATCACGTCGTACGAAAAGACGTCAAACTGTCGCGTCCATCGCCGCACCTGCTTGTACTCGTATACGCTGCACCCCTTGGCGCGATTGAACCGCACGAGCTTGGTGTAGAAAAACGAGTTCATCACCTTGACTTTGGGCACGTCGCCCCCGGAGTCACCCCAATTCGGCATGGAGCCTTGGCTGTTCTGATTGCGTTTCGCCTCATTCCTTTTGACCAGCAACTCCAAATAAGCATTGACAATCTCATCATTGAGCCAACACCCGGGCTTCAGGCGAGTGAGATCCTGGGTGGTGATGATGCAGCCGTTCACCTTGGCGAGCTCCCTAGGCGCATAGTCGGCCTCCATCATATGATGCCTGAGCCTCTTGAGGGCACAGTGCGACAACGGGGCAAAGGCCGAGTCATCATTGGTGACGCTAATCCTCCTCTCCCTCTCCTCGAGCGCGGTGTCATCGTCGTCCTCATCCCAGCCGTCGTCGTCCTCGCTCCAATAATTCTCTTCAAACTGATGGGCGGTCTCCGGCGGCTTCTCTGGGGTGTTGGTCCTCCATTGCGGGGCGAACAAGTGCGTGCGCCTCTCCGCGTCGACCTTTCCCCGCCTCTCCAGTCGGTTCCTCTCGCTCTCCTCGCGCTGAATCAAGGCTTTCCCCTCGCCTATCCGAACCCTCGCCTCGACCATGTGGCGAATGCTCTTGCCCATACCCTTCCAGATCTTCTCCGCAATTTCCGGGCACTGATCCATCAGCTCGACCAGCTCCGGGGACAAATCCTCCATAATATCGCTCCGCGCGAGCCCCGCATGCCTCTTCATCAGCGAGTCTGCCGTCCGCACTCGCGCGTCCCTCTCAGCCTTCCTCACCATCTCCATGGCGTCGCCATCCACCTCCATGCGGTCCGGCCCGGGCGACCATACCTCTGCCACGACGCTCATCCGCACGGCATTCCCGCGTTGCATCTTGCCCTTCTGCCTGCGCAGCAGGGCGGGCAAGCGGCTGCGATTCCTGGGGACGACGTGCTTGGCGATCGTCTTGAAGACGGGGGCGCGCGGG